ATTTACCTGAGCACTTTTCTGAAATAAATACCAACCAGTTGTTGAGAGAGCGCTTGTCTCTTGCACATCATGAAGATTCTGTTAAAGGGATCAGAGTTCCATTCCGAGAGTACCATACCGAGAGTATTGAGAGGATTCTATTCAAATAAGAAACATACGCTAACATTTTTCATATTACTTTTCATCATTATTTGGCTTCATGTCCTTTGTCATGCTAAAGCTTCAGTTCGCAAACCTTAGTGTGTATTTGAATCATGCAGAAGCTCCACTTTGAAACAAGCACTTCCAGCTTGAAACTTTAATTAGAAATTTTGATTGAAGAACACGTTGGGAGCTCTCACAGGTTTTTGAGCTAAAAATTGACCTTTGTGCTTGCTGCGTGCAAAGGTCCAGAACCATTTAATTAATGTAAAAGATGCTAATGCAATATCCCCTGAAGTGTTTAATTACTAGTAACATGAAACACTTTTCTAATGCTACAGAATGGGTTTCTAAATGGAGTGTTTAAATTAATAGGTTGATATGCTGAAACAAAAGAAGTGAAACTAAGTTTTTGGATAAAAAGTAAGAAAATTATTTCAAGCATCCTCAGGTTTAAGTTTGCATTTTCTACTGTTCTCTCAAGTACATTTGAAGGAGAACCGGAGACAGCATCTCAGAGTTACTAAGCCTCGCTCAGCTTTGGGATATAAATGAGATACTGCAGCCTAACCAGTTGCCACAGAAATACACTCAATTAAAATCAGTGAAGAGAATTAAACATTGTGAATGCATTAGCACCAGCTCTCATTCCCCAAAGGAAGAATGCTGGTAGTACATGCCTTTATTTTTAGTGGTAATTTGTCAAAATGCATAGTTCTTTAATATTTATGGCTCTCAATGGGCCTAAATGCAAACCTTATAGATAGAACAGTGTTCATCCATGTGTAACTCTGGATCCCTGAGTTACTGCTGTAAGATTTGCTGGCAGGGTCTTTTGATTTAGCTTTCTTTTCCACATGGGGATGTGTGTGAGAACTGCTTGATATTCTTACAAGAGTAAGGTCCTCCATACTTGGTTTGACAGTACAACATCCAGTCATTTACATTTATTTTTATGTGCTTAGCAAATATGTTTATAAGACAATATGTAGCTGCATGCTACAATGATAAAGAAAAAGTGTTCATGGTGAAAAATGTGTAGATCCACTAGCAAAGGAAACAAACTACAATATTTGCAAAGCAGAGCCCATTCTGAAGTGGACTTCTGCCTCTTACTTCAAAGAAGAACAGCAGGGTGCATCCTTAAGGGGATTCACTGAGTAAGGCAAAGACTAAAAGGCATAATTCATGGCTTGAAAATTAGCGAGAGACAAAAATCGGAATGGAAATGAGAGAAAAGGACACTGGAAATTGACTGCAGGGAACCAGTTATGTGTGGAGAGCCTGCCATTCCAAATAGTAGACCTCCAGAGAAACAGAGCTTAAAAGGCAGATAATGTCAGAGTTGATTCCCCAGAGCTCTCTCTTTCCTAGCTGCAAACCCCTCCACTTCTAAAGCAACCTGACACTTCTGTTGAAACCAGGAGTTTACCTGTAGCAGCAGAAGTTTCTCGCTAGTTGGACTCCTTTATCACTAGTTCTGTGATCCACATGCCATTGTCTTGTTCTAACAGATCAGGAGGAACCTGTGAGCTGTGGTTTGTGTTAATGTGACATTCAGGTGTGCCCACTCCACTTTTCTTGAAAACCATCCTGTCAAGAAACATTCAGCGGGCTAATCTGGCATTGTGCCAGCTTAAAGTACACTTCTTCCAAAATATTTTTCTTATATATACATTGCTAAAGAAACTGCATTGTTTTCATTTGTAGTAATTCAAGTCCTTTGACCTTATAAGTCAGTTAAGTGGGGGTAAGCAGTTTCAGCTGTTTTATTCATCTCTGCATTATGGAAGACCACTGCAAGACTGCTGCTATGTAAACTTGTAGTCACTTAATAAATATATCTTAAATTGAATCTAAGAACAACAACCCATGACAAACAAAGAAAAATCTACAGAGGTCTTAGAAAACATCCAGTGTCATCCAAAGATGTTCATGAAACTTTTAAGCATCTCCCCAAATTGACTGTCTATTGAATTTGTTTTGCATCCATCCGTGAATACTCAAATCATACCCTCACCTTATCATTCAAATGCAAATTTCCTGTTTCTGTGCCTCTCTACTGCTTCTAAAAACGTCCAGCTATTTAGCTGAAGAAAATATTCTCCACAAGCATGAAATATCATGATAATCACAGGGAGAGGAAAAATATGCGCTAGTTATATTCTTTTACTTCCTCATAGGTAATTCTGATATGTACCACATTATGCACAGCTTTGTGATTCAAGAATAGTTTTGAAATGTGTATGTCATACTATTAACTGGAAAGTGAAAAAATGTAAAGAGAATGGAAACTCACATTGGTTAGTGATAAATACCTTAAAGATCTTATTTAATTTTCAAAATTACCCAGTGAGTTTATTTTCATCTTGCATTTTCAAAGATAACCTCTGTTCTCTGGCTCATTCAGCTTCAAAACAGATGTAACACCTGAGTTTCCATGTTCTTAATAACATGACATGCTACTTCTCAGGAAGCACACAAGTAGAAACAGCTAGGCATCATGATAATAGTGACTGCAACAAGAAGAGGGAGCGGTGAAGTGCATACTTTGGTGCACATCATTTGGTGACTGTACTGCATTTGTTTTGGTTTTGATATTCAGGAGACGCTTAACTTCATTCATTTCTATTTTCTGAGTTGTAGAAGTTCAAGTCGGTTGACCTAAACTCACAAGACTAGAAATACTTTTGCATCATTACCGTGTACATGTAGAACATAATCAGTTGGGAAAAAAAAAATTAAACACATTAGTGTAGCCTTAAGTCTGGGCTATGGAAATTAATTTCTGAAAGTTATCAAGCTAAACTTTTTTAAATGTTTTTCTCTCAGGCAAAATAATAATTTTGAAAATTTTCCTCAAGAAAAATCAACCTGAAATTGTTATTTAAGCTGTAGACTTTGATCTTTTTATATTTAAATTTTAAAATTTCACCTTTGATATGAGTACGGTTCTATGGAAGGAAGGGTGGTTTGTGTTCATTGCAACAATAAACTGTGACATGATAGTTTAATTATTTTCTAATGGTTCTCTGATTCATCATCCTATTTTTGCTCAAATGCTAAGCAAACTTAAAGATCAATAATGACTTTAAATTTCTTTGTTGAGAAATTCTTATTAAATCTTATAAAGGATTCTAAAACAGCTGTGAAACATTATAGGACTACAAAATAATAAAAACTGAACTGACTAAACTCTTTTTATATTAAGTGGAGTTTCTGTCTACTTTTATCATCAAAATCAGATCTCTATTGTGATATTTTTAAATAGAGTGTTAAAGAAATTCATGTGCACCTCAGTTCAGTATTTTTGTTCACTTTAAGTAAATTCACGGAGATCTGGAAGGCTCATGTGTCTTCATAGAAGAGCTTTTTGTCTTGGATTTCAGCTCTGCTGGGCCTCAACAGGAGTGAGACACCTCCATCTGGTGGCCCAGGCATAAAATTTCCATGCTAAATTCCTTGCAAGATATTCTAAATTTGCATTAGGTTTTGAAGTTCCTAGTTTAAAAGAATGGCTCGATCATATTGAAAATGAATTTCTCATATGAAAGTATCATGTTTAAAATAATTAGTGGGGCTGGGGATTTAGCTCAGTGGCAAAGCGCCTGCCTGGCAAGCGAAAGGTCGTGAGTTCGGTTCCCGGTACCGGAGAAAAACCAAAAAAAAAAAATAATAATAATAATTAGTGCCCTTCAAGGAGCTAAATGCTGCCTCATCTGTATCTACTCAAAAAACACCAAGTCCTTCTTATGGCCAGTGGAAATAGCACTTTTTCCCCTATGTCTCTGAAGAGAAAAAAGGAGTTTTTTTCAGGTTGCTTAATTTTTTAAAACTCTAATTTCACACTGATGCAGAGTCAACTCTTTTCAAAATTCTATTTTATCAGCCTATATTAAGTATTTAGTAAGGAACAAGATCAAAAGCCTTATTTAACCAAAATACACTGTCTCTGTTACTTTCTCTTCATTTACCAAGTTCAATTTTTATTATGGAATTTTTAAAAATTAGATAGCTTTTGCCACGGTTTTTCCTTAAAAATCAATACTGCAGTTTATTCAAAATTCATAAAACTAGATTATGATAGATATTTCAAATGTCTTTAGAATATTTGTGAAAGCTACAAATATAAAATTTTAGTGTTTTTTGTTTTTAACTCAATTTATATTGAACAGTTTTCAGTCAATAAATATCTTATCTCTGTATATTGTTTTCTACAAAGTTGTTCTCTGCTAGCACACCTCTGCCCTCAAAACAACTTCTTCTCTTCAAAATGATGATTGGGACTCACATTTATTCTTTAAGAAGGATAAGCAAATTAACGTTATATTTGAACAAAGTCCTTTATTCATTTTATTAAATTTAAGCATTTAATTAAAACAGGAATCTCCTCTAAATTGACATATGACAAAAATTATTGTCAGGATTTCATTTTCTTAAAAGGTTTCTGATTGTGTGTTACATGTGATTCATTTCTTCCTTTTGTTGTATAGTATTCATAAAGATGTTTTATTTTTATTTGATATTTTTCCATCATTTTATATATATATATATATATATATACATCTCAGCCTCGTGTCAAGTGATCAACTAATTCTGTATTCCTTTGTATTCTGTATCAGTACTACATTTCCATCACAATTAACTTTTTTTTTATTCTTTATTGGATTTTTGAGGAGGGAAAGTTGGGGTATTCACATGAAGCTCATTGTGACTGTTGCCTATTATGAAATAAAATTTCCACTTTGGGGAACAAAAGAGAAAAAAATATACTTTTGACCTTCAAAAAACAGTGTATCATTTTTCAGAATAGTTACACATCAATATAATCAAGAAAGAAATATCACTTTCCTTTTCAGAGGCGAGCTGCTGATAATTTGAGAAGACATCATCAATATCAAGTAAGTAATCCTGGTTTTCTATCTTAGAATTATCATTAAAATAAAACAAGTCCCCCTTCTGAATTGACTCATTAGAGAAATCCTATGTATGACCTGAATATCAATGCTGTTATTCTAAAATGCCTCAGGAAGTTATGAGGAACCTGGTGAAGCGCTATGTAGCAGCCATGATTAGAGACGCTAAGACTGAAGAAGGCCTGACAGAAGAGAATTTCAAGGTAACCATTTTTGTCTTCATCACAATCAGAAGCAGAGTCTGCAAAATAAGGAACCAGACACAGCACATTTAGAATCAGTGCTCAGAACTCAGCCATGTGTTCTAGCAGGCATGTGTCTCTTCTGCTTTTTAAATTAAAGTCTTATGAATTTTTTTTAAGTAAGCAATGAAATTTCTTCTCAAATTGTTTTGAAACATATTTAACCCAAAATAACAAAGAGACTTAACTTGTAGACTGAGAAAATCCTTTTTTCCTCCTGGCATTCTGACACTGATCCCAGCAACGCTCTGTTGAGTAAGTTTTTGCATTTGATATTTCATCCTGATTTCTATATCTGAAACATTTAATAACCAACAAACTAGCAGCAAAAGCATTTTGGGTTCTCAGAACACTTCAGTAACATATAATTTAAGGTGTGAGTTTAACTGTAACTTACACATTTCATCTTTCTACTTGAGTTTCTTATTTTTTAAATTCAGACACAAGAAATAAACAGAACATAGGAAATATTATATGCTGAAAATATATAAATTAACTTTGTTATTCTATATGAGTGTTTAGAAATTTTGGAATAATGTCTTAGGGTCAATAAGATACAAGCCAGAATGAACACATGTTGAGAAATGTAGGATTACTTTACAGAGAAAGCCTCAAGTTTGGCAAAGAGAAAAAAAAAAATAAGCAACCAGTTACATAAAAAATAGATAAACTGCAAGACTGAAATCACAGATTATTAGTTAACTAAGACTGGGCCCAGCATGGTGGCACACACGTGTATTCCAAGCACTTGGGTAGCTGAGGCAGGAGGATCACTGCAAGTTCGAGGCCAGCCTGGGCTATAAAATGAGCTCAAGGCCAGCCTGAGCTGCATAGCAAAACCCTCTCTCAAAAAGACACACAAAATTAATTATCCAAGATTCAAAATATTTTCTGCAACCACAAAAATCCAATTATCTAGTTAAAGGAGTCATACTACTTTAAGAGACAAGTGGGAAGGAAGGATACCACCGAGAAAATCCCCTTCAAGTTAAGGCTGAAAATTCAGTTGTCAGAAGAGATAAGAGAAATGGATGAATCTAAGTTTAATGGGAAGCAGTTTGTAAGGCAGAGAGGCTGATGTAGATGTTGGAGTCAGGTCCTCATACAGTTCCTGATGATTCTTGGAAGGGTAGGATCCACTTTGTTCTATTTTGGGGATCCTTTCATACCTAAAAGTGTGCATTATTAAAAAATTGCTTTCTTGACCACAGATGAATATTTGCAAGCAGTGATGGTAACTTTAGTTCCAGAGAAAAGCCATAGACTCAGCCATTCAGTGTTTGAAAGTGTCCTTCCTCCTTTCTTACATCATCCTTAGAAAGCATTTTTGTGACTACAAAACTCCAAGAAGGAGATTAATAAACATCAAAATGGCACCCAGTTCCCGAGAAGGAACTGGGAATTCTAAGTAAAACTAAAGTGGTATACAATGTCGGTTCTTAAAAAGGAGTGGAAGCATTTCAGACCTATATCTGAAATTAGAAAGTGATGTTTCTCAATGTTTATTGAAGTCTCAACCTAACTTATCGTTTTAAATTTCCTTTAGGAACTAAAGCAAGACATTTCTAGTTTCCGCTTTGAAGTTCTGGGATTACTTAGAGGAAGCAAACTTTCCACCACACAATCTGCAAATGCCACCAAGGAGTCCTCGAATTCAGCAGACTCAGATGAAAAGAGTGACAATGAAGGTAATAGCAAGGACAAGAAAAAGCATTTCAGCCTTTTTGATTTAACCACTCTGATCCATCCGAGGTCAGCAGCCATTGCCTCCGAGAGACATAACATAAGCAATGGCTCCGCCCTGGTGGTGCAGGAGCCACCGAGGGAGAAGCAGAGAAAAGTGAATTTTGTAGCCGATATCAAAAGCTTCGGGTTGTTTCATAGACGATCAAAACAAAACGCTGCTGAGCAAAACGCAAACCAAATCTTCTCTGTTTCAGAAGAAGTTGCTCGTCAACAGGCTGCAGGACCACTTGAGAGAAATATTCAGCTGGAGTCCCGAGGATTAGCTACACGGGGTGACCTGAGCATTCCCGGTCTCTGTGAACAGTGTGTTTTAGTAGACCATAAAGAAAGGAATACGGACACACTGGGTTTGCAGGTAGGCAAGAGAGTGTGTTCGTTCAAGTCAGAGAAGGTGGTGGTGGAGGACACGGTACCTATCATACCAAAGGAGAAACACGAGAAGGACGAGGACTCCAGCATAGACTATGACTTAAGCCTCACAGACACAGTCGCCCACGAAGATTACGTGACGACACGATTGTGATACTGGAAGGAGGAAGCGTTCATCATACCTATACATATTTTCCATGATGCTCTGGGTGGGGGACAATGTTTAAAATTAAATTAGCAAACGCTACCTTACACTTTACAGCATTTATCAACTGTGGCATATTAACCTGTAACATGTTTAAGGCAAAGGCAATGAAGAACCCTTCAGTTTTGTAGCCTGCTTTTGCTTCCACAATTTGTTTTACAATTGTTTTTGTTAATAAATAAAGGCACCTTGTATTCTTGTACTGTTCCCGATAACCCACAGAGAGTTTTTAGCTATCTTTTTCAATTAAAATAAATGCGATTTATTTGATGTTGTAGTTGACTCCTCTAATAGATATTTTTATATACAAAGAAAATAATGTGGCTAAAATTTTAGAGCTTTTCATAATTTAGTGGGCTCTCTAGAGATAATTATTTTCTGAGGACTCTCATCCCAGCTCTGCAGTTTGGCTTTGAAGCTCACTACTACCAAATTATTTCTTAAGAACATGTAAATCACACAGTTAAAGCAAGCAAGCAGGCCTTCTCATGGAGTCATGATAAGCCCTGTTTTAAAATGAAAACAAGATGTACTTTGTACAGACACATTATCCTGGGGCATCATTTCAGTAACTAAAAGAAATGTTTGTCTTAATACATTTGATGACTGACGTTTTGTCCTAATAAAACATATCTCCAGTTTGAAAAAAACAAATTAAGTACAGTTGCAACTGTTGTCAGTATAAATATGAGCTTTTATGAATAACTGGGTTTTAAAAATGGAAAAATAATTTCTATCATAGAAAATAAAAACAATAAATTAGAATACTTTAAGGCACTGAAACAAAGTAACATCACTACATATCCATAATGTCTAGATAAATATAATTCATTCTAATATTCTAAACATAGGCAAAGTTGAATTCTCATATTTTCAGTCATACAATATTGTTGAGAACTCAAAAGTATATAAACCTCATAGCTTCTGCTTTTCCCTTCAGTAAGTGGTATATACTTTTTAAAAATTAAAATCACTTGACAGTCATTAATAGTATCAAAAGGTATAAATATGGTATAGATTCTTCCCTGCAGGGAAAATTTTAATTCTTTGTTTCTTCTATTATTTGCAAGGTAGTTTAGCTTCATTTATAGAACTATTAAAAGGAAACTATTCATACTTTATGTAAAGGTAGTATTTACAGTTTTTTAAAATTAAGTTGTATAACCTATTATTTAAGCCATTATCAAACATTTTCTAATTACTAACACTGTTTTAAAACCAAGAGAAAAATGCTGAGTTCATTTTACTTCAAAAATTACCTCTATGGGCTAGAAAAATTGCATAGTTATATATATATTTTTTCTTATATTTTACTGATGAGGAAGCTGAGACAAACACCAATTGATGAAGGAAACACAAAAAGGGAACTGTGGGATATGTTCTCAGGTCTTACCTTCCTACCTTTAAACTGCCTCTCAGAACATAAACACACACACACACACACACACACACACACACACATACATACACACACACTGGAGAGATTATTATTGTCAATCCTGAAACGTTATACTTTAAGGGAGAGTTTGGTAAGCTCCATAAATGTATGTCCCTTCTTATAAGACAGGAAGTATATGCAAAACTAAAGATAATATAACCTGTTTATTTGATTCCTTGGATCCAATTACATCACAGGAGTTAGAAGATATGAAAGAATTCAGGAAGGGATTTCAACTATTGACACAAAATGGTAGATATCAGTTTTCAGAGAAGCTAGAGACACTTAGCTCTTGTTGAATCTTAAGTCTGCTTTCATCTTGGAGATTTGGAGATGGGCAAAATAGATTTGCAAAAAGACAAGCTTACTGAATGTATGTATTGTTCAAGTACACCTTTATCTCAAAGATATTAGAGTAAACCCAGGGGCTACTGACATGCTCACTTTTTTCAGAGTTCAACATTTAAAAGAAGGAGACTTACAGGTTTATTCTTTTTGCTTGTTTGGTTTCTTTTGTTGTTGTTTTTTTCCAGTACTGGGAATCGAACTAAGGACCTCGCACTTACCAGGCAGACGCTGTGCCACTGAGCTAAATCCCCAGCCCTTATAGGTTTATTCTTAATGCTTCAGTTTTTTGCTGATTTATTTTTCTCTATGTTTGTGTGTGTGTGTGTGTGTGTGTTTTCAAAGACCCTAAATGACTATTACACATATTTCACTGAAATTTGCCTTCAAATTTCCTCTGTCCATCAAACAATAGCAATAGTAAAAGCAACAGAAAACTTTTCTACAGTAGTTTATATGAGGATTTGGGCACTGACATTTTACATGTGAACAAGATGAAAACTGAGGTATTTGTGGGTAGCAGGTATCACCCTGCTTTTCAGTTTCTCAGAAATTATAATTCTCACAACCCTCAGATGTCACTGACAGATGCTTTTATGAGTACAAACAAAATATTGGGTTGTTCCATCCTAGAATTAAAAATTATTCTATATGTGCAGTGAAATTATGCAGTGTTAATGAGGATAAAACTAAGGATAGAATAAGAAAGCCTAAAACAACAGTGAGATTACAAGCAAAGGGATGTATTTTGGGGGGCCTTAAATAATGAGGTTTCTTTTTATTTGTATGCATATTTCTAACCTAGAAATTTGAAAATTGAGGTGAATTTAATAGACTTGAGGTTAAATTCACAGGTATGTTTTAGAAACCACATTTATCATAAAGTATACCATAAAAATGTATCTTACCATTTGAGACAAATGTTTTCCACAGAATTTCTGTGTAAAATATTCTATATCAACTTCAGTAAGGAAACTACCTATATATTGAAAAAAACATATAATGATCAATGATTTTGTAAATGATGAACTATTTTTCAAAGTGATAATCATCCTCAAATTATATGTTTCATAAAAATGAATATTTGTGTCTGAAAATTTCTTAAATTAGGTATTTTATTTACTGGCTGGCAATGAAAGTAATACAGAAAACATTCTCACTTTCTTACCTTGACATTGATAGAAATTAGACATATTTCAGTGGTCACACGCAACGACTGAAACCCTAAAATTTCATGGGAAACTTGTGGAGAATAATGAGAATTTTGGTCCAAAGTGAAGGACAGTACACGTATCATGCTATTCTCAAAGAAGCAAAGTAAATGTGAAGGGAATGTAGGAAATAATGACTTAACGAAGTGTACTCTTCAGATGTAATAATTCGTCATAACTATCGAGTGAGTGATTATCTTGGCCCATGACCCTACTGAAGAATAGGCTCCCAATACAAAAATCTGGCCATTCCTAGCCATCAAGCTTTGCGATTGCAGCAGAATCTTCTGCAGTGTCAACAGTCGCCTACCAAAATGATAGTGGGATTACTGTTGCTCAGGATTCTTAAAAAATGCTCACGATTCTTAAAAATTAACCTAGCAAAAATCAGCCATAAGTCTCTGTCAATATGTGTATAAGTATTCAGATTTCAAAAGGCCAAATGTCTGAATTTATTTCACCAGTCTGAAAGTTTTGTTATTTTTATTTAAATTCAGACCTACCAGTAAAAGAATTTCAAAATGTGGTATCTCTGATAACACCCTTCAAATCGACTCTGAAAACATTACCCTCATTATTTTACAATGCATTTAATTGCATCTTGTTACTCTAGTACTGTCACATGTATTATTTTATGTAAATATATGTGTGGTGTTAAATTTAAATTTTCCATGAGTAACTGGGGAAACTAAGGCTTGGGAGATTTATGTCAGGAGTCTAAATTCATCCATCTGCTCAGGATGAACTGGAGCTTAGACAAACGAAAACCAAAAACAGATAAAAGAACTCAAGTATACATCTAGATATTTAGATGAGATATCAGGTCATAAATGCTTTGATTAACCAATTTTTATTTTGAAGAAAATTTATCTTTTTACCCTCTCCAGAAGTAGATATTTATAGTTGTTCAAACTATACACAATCAAAATCTTACCATTTCTTTTCCTACATGGTTGTGTTACAGATATATTTTAAAGCTGACTTGTAATAGTTTCCTAAGAATGTACGACTTAGTTTCGTATTAAATGACTTTGTGATAATTCTGTAAACACGTGGAGATGGTAAAATGTATTAAAGGATGTTAAAGCTTAACCACTGAGAAATGACGGCGCTAGACAGTAAGAGGCTGAGCCTAGACTGAGACCAAGAGACCAGCCCTGGACAGCTGCACCACCCCTGGACTGACAGATATTGCAGTCATCTCTGCAGGTGGAATTCAATAGCACAAAGTCTTCCGTTTCCTCTACAGCTGACTGCAAGGTATCGTGTATCCATGCGTGACTATTAAAAGCTTGCAATGGAGCTAATCCAAATTAATGTGCTATAAGTGTAACATACACATCAGTTTTAGAAACTTACTACAAAAATTACATAAACCATCTGATTGGTACTTTCTATTGAACACAGGATTTACAATATTCTGGGTGAAGTAAGTTATGATACATTAAATAAATTAGCTCTATTTCCTTTCATGTTTTCAAGATGGCTACTAGAAAATTAAAATACATATGCGGGTTTCCTTTGTAACTTGCAGTACTTTTCTTTTTTGTTTTGTTTTGTTCTTTTGTTTTGTTCTTTTTTCCGGTACCGGGAATGGAGCTAAGACCTTGAGCTTGCCAGGCAGGCGCTGTGCCGCTGAGCTAAATCCCCAGCCCCTTGCAGTACTTTTCCATTGGATGGTTCTTCTCTGGGACATTTGTATTTTTTCATGCCACTCACACTTTTGAATTATGTAGGAAAAATTTATACATTTTAATTACCAAAAAGACTGATGTAACATCACTAAAATTTGCACTGTCCCCTTGATTCTATATCTCCCAAAAGAATCGCTGCTCTTTTTCCACATTTAACCTTTATCTTGGCAAATGTACCAATGTATAAACATATAAGGATATATACAGGTTAGATTTTTGTTGCTGCTTTTATTTCATTTGGATCATACTGTACTTGTAGTATAGTATGCATCAGTAACTATTTTTATTCTAACAGTGTATCATGCAAATTTTTTCTAAAGTACCGTAATATAGTGAAGTCATTTGAATCCATTCAACAAAATTCCTTTAGTAGTTAGGTATTCTACCTGCTTAGATATAATCACTTCCTGTTTTTACCACTGCGGAGGAGCTTCTTAGTGGTGAACATGCGTGTTTCCCAGTGAAGAGACAGACACTAGGGTGCTTCTGAAAAGCAGCTGTGCTCACTTCGTTCTGATTATAGTGCTGCAGAGGCCTCGGTTCTCCCGTGTTTAAGCGC